AACATGAATATGAAGAAGATTCTAGCCCTTTGTTCATCTCACGGCTATGGAGAAATTCAAGACAAGTGAAGGTCGATCTTGAGAGGAGTGTTTGTGTTTATAATGGGGTGGGCTGGTGAAGGAAAGGAGCAGCTGTCATAGAGATATCTAGGGTCTTATTTTTGAGTGTGTTCTTTCCTTGTACTCTTTGTTTCAATTCTGAATAACATACTATTGTGAGCCTTGAACAGTGGATGTAGGCTATTTAGCCGAACCACTATAAATCTGTTGTGTCTTGCTTCTTTCTGCTTTCTTTCTTTCTTTTTGATTTTCATGCCTTGGTTGAATGATTCATGATGTTCAAATTATTCAAAGTTGTTTGATTATCCAATTAATTTCTTGTTAATTCAGTTGAGACAACTCATTAGACCTAGTATTATAACGGCTATAGTTAGGAACTTCAATTTACATGCTAAAATGGGCCCAAGTAACTGTAATTCTATAATTTTGAAATATTCATGTCGAAACTGGAAGTTGCAGAGCGAATTGTATGATTTAGTTCTGCTCTAGCTCTCTCATTACAGAGTAACAGGATCATTTCAGTGCTGATTGTACGATTGTGATAACTAATAATCATACATGATATTGTTAAGTAAAAAGAGCCCAAGCCTGCAAAATTCCATATGCGCTTTTCCCTTTTTGGTAATATAATTTTGTTGATCTCTGAATTTAACAAGTTTCAGTAGACTCATGAGTACGTTCAGTTTTTTTTTTTTTTTTTTTTTTTAATGTTAAATTCGTTGAATCATATTAGTATGATCGCCATTTTCATGGTCCCAGAAATCATTACTTTACCTTCTAATGAATGTGCGCATGTCGGAATCTAATTCTGCGACAATGCAGAAAAATTGAGTAAGGGACCGGACTAGATGACGATCACAACTTTTTGCTCATGGATAATAAGTAGTCAACAACTCAATAATCAAAGATGAGAACAAAAATAATACATATACATATCTAATTCCTCTTTCGACTCGTTTTCAGAAAAGTATATATAAGCACTACTGTATGGCGGCAAACTGCTTTCTAGTACTGTTAGAAAATGGGAACCCAGATTTAGATTGAGTGATTGTGCACGGGATAGTATAAGACGAACACAACCAAGTCAAAGTAGACTACTGTGCTTAAAGGATCTGGGTTGTTTTTCTTGCTAGTATATATAAATTGTGTACTTTTCTCTATTCTAGGAAAATTCCGCATTGCACTAAAACTAAAATGAAAGATCGAAAATTATGCGGCAAAATTTGGGATGGACATTTACGCTTCCGCCCAAAACTTTCTGTTCATGCATATTAATGTACAATGTAAATGTAGTCTTTTGGCCCCAAAATGTAATCTTATAAGCTTAAAAACCCTGCAATACCACTTGTTTATTATAAGTTAAGTACTTAAGTCAACTTTTTCTGTCTATTATCTTTGTAAAAGTAGTTGCTTTCCGATTCGGTTCTGACTTCCTAAGACGTAAGCTAATCGTCATCGAGATTGTGGTGGCTGTCTTGCATTATCAGCTACTTGGACCAGAGAGGGGCTGAAATTTAACTGAGCCCAATGTCTTTAGTGTCTACAGTTAATTTGAATTGTTGCTCTGCATGCTTCTCTCTCTTGTACTTCTTTTACATTGAAAGAATTTACCACAAGAAGGATGATTTTTAATTGCTTATTAAAAGCAATTTTTTTTCCTGTCAATTTATTTTGGGCTTAGGAAAGAATGTAGTTTGATGCTAAAGTCCAGACCCTAATAAAAGACGCAAATGTTTCTCACATAAGGTTAAGCCTAACAAGAGGCCTTCTATTACAGCGCAAATAATGTAAAATGAGTTACCATATCAACACCTTTTTATAATTCCTTACCAAGTTTTAATGTTTATCCTTCAATAACGGACAACAAAAATTCGTAAACCTAGATTCTTATATTAATTTTAAACCTAATTTATTTCATTCGGATACAACATATCAAGTAAACATACATTAAGCTTATGATGGTACCCTAATATGGATAAGACTCCTGACTTTGCATAAATAGATGACTAGATATTATCCTAATGCTCAAATGCTACTCAGCTAGCTTGGTCTGACCTGACTTTGAGGGTATAATATTATTATATAATACAAATATGTAGTCAATGACTATTGAAATTTAGAATAAAAACTTGCACTATATAATGGTTCTGTAACCTAAATTATTTCATACAAATTGATTTGAAACAAATTGAGTGGATAACGTTTTACAAAAAGTTAATTAAATAAAATATTCAATTAATATATATGAATGATGAATGATGTAATAATAAAAGATTTAAATCTATTCAATTTATATACAAGAATTTTTTGCTTAGTTTGTAAATGTAGCACCACTTATTTAATTATTAAATACATCTAGCCTTACAAATTAAAAAAAATATTGTAAGTTACTTTATCTTATATATTTTGAAAACCTCAATTATTCATAAGAACTATACTAGTAAATGAGTTTAATACAATAGAAAGTTTTATACATTAAAAACATGAAACAATTAGCAAAAGCAGAACAAATTTGACAAACATAACGTCACGCCGCACTAAAACCATAATGATCAAATTAATAATTAAGCCGATTGTGAGAATAAATAAAGCTTTTAAGTTAAACAAAATGGGATCGATGCAAGGAACGAGTTCAGCGGGTTACGGGTTAGTCGAGAGCGATGTCCAATTAGAGTCAACAAATCCCAATCCTTATAATTATCCAGATTCCCGAGAGCATGCACATGCAATAAAAATATAAATATTTTCAAATTTTATTACTAGAAGAAGAAAAATAAGGCAGGAGTCATAGGAAAATGTCGGTGTTTTAAGTAAATAACCTAGGCAGGTGGGTACTGAACCTGGAACCACCAACTGGGATGCCAGCCTGCACGTTCAGCCTCCATTTCACAGCTGTATATTTAATATGTTTACCAAATTAGTTTTCTCATATTAATAGAATCTGATTTAAATCTTACGTGTTTGAATTCAAACTTTGAGCCACTACAAGAAAAGAAACCATTTGAGAGTTCTGGTCAAATATAGACGACAGTTGGGTAATTTTATAGCAACTACATCTTTGCTTTCTGTATATATAGAAAAATATCATTGGGCAGAAAAACAAGTTGAAAGGAAAGAGATTTTAAAATTAGTTAGAGGAACCTTCATATTACTTTGGTAGCACATGATCAATTCCGTGTTAAAACTCGAGAATCTAACACTCTGAATTGTTTTTGACTTGCTGATATAGGCCACCCTTGCGTTCGACTTTGTGGTACTCAATCTAGTTAACTTCAAAAATTAAGTTGACGCGCTTGCAGCGAATCTAGTTTAGTTGATATATATATATATATTTTTTGATTTCTACATTTCAACTTGACAAGTGAGTGAGAAAGGTAAGTTAACATAATGGGTTGTTGGTAAGGTAATTACATTCACTATTGCTTCTCAAAATGCATGGTGATGGTAAGTTAACGTATTGTAATTGGGTATTTTAGTTTAGTTCAACCCTGTCTGACAGAGGATGCAAACATCAAAACAATTATAACCATGTTTAATTGTTTAAGAAAAACATCAGTTGTATACGTGAGACGTGAGCCTCACATCAATTGAAGGTGTTGTGTTGACTGTAATTGCATGCCAATTAAATAAGTCATCGTCCTCAAATAGAAAAATCTAGTTAAAATACACCCTTACCAACCAGATTGAACCTGCACTAGCAGACAATAACAAATTGATATGACTACAAATTATGGAGTAGTTGGGCTCAGATTGACCTTCTAGTTCTGGACATGAGAAACATTGACAAACGACTCACATTAAACTAAGTCAATTTCTATTGGGCTTCACCCCACTTAATGCTGTTAATCTCACTTTCTACTCTACGAGCTTTCAGTCTCTCCACGACAATCAACAAATAAACTAATAAATAATCAAACCGTAATCTAAACAATTATGTTATGTATATAAAATTGGGATCATAATGTATATGATTGACAATATTAATTATGATCCCAGTTTTATATACTGAATAAGTATTGCCTTAACTTAAAAATCGTAACTATTAAATTGAAGATGAGAATCATCTTCCATTTAAAGGCAATACTTTTTTCAGTATTAATTAAACCATCTATAGTAGTCTTATCAATTCTATTTAGTTGTTCAATAATTCCTATTACTTATCTATATTGTTCTAACTGAGTTCAATATGGGTATTTTTTATGGATTGTCAATTCAAATATTGCTTCTATTGGACTTCTTATGTTAGCATATGGATCGAAAAATAAATAATATTCCTTTTTAGGTGGTCTGATAAATATTTGGATGCTCTTTGACACTTTTAATTTAATCGTAAATATCATAATTAATTCCCAATTGACTGCCAGAGTAGTTAAGGAGAAACATTATTTAACCTTATACTGATATTAATTGATATGCTACTCATATTCTATATGTATGGAAGTTTTAATCGAATATTAAAATTCAATATAATAAAAATAAAATCTTGATGATAAAAAATATGTCTTACTTTGGTCCATATGATTCTAAAATGGAAGGAATACATAAAAGTAGCTTCTCTTTATTAGGTATAGGAGATAAGCTTTTCCAGGCTTATATGCTTAAAATAAAATATATAGTCCAAATCTTATAACATTCTCTCATAAGCATAATTGTATTAATCCAAACTAATTAAAAAGCTGAATAATTGGGAGCATGTTTTGATCGTTGAAAATTGTGGTGGGAAAGCAAGGTATACATTTTGAATAACAACTCCTCCACAAATTGTAATGGCCTTCTCTATCGATTCATCAAGCTCGACGCCAGTTACGCGTTTTGATTAAGTCTTTCAATTTGACTTTACAAAATTCTTCGTCTCACTAAACAAAACCAAGCTACCTCTCCCTCGCTACTACTATATATACCTCCACTGCTAACACAAAATCATTCAAACTCAATCTACCTCTTTCCTTTCTCTAAAACAATGGCTTCTAAACTCTTCTTTCTCATAACAATTCACATTCTTATTTCCCTTCCTTTCTTTGCCCATCAATCTTGTGCAGCAAATGAGGCTTCAAGGAGTACTACTGTCTCACGAGAAACCCTTTGCAAATTCGCTCCAGACCCTCACTATTGCAAATCTATTCTCCCAAACCAAACCGGAGATGTCTACAATTCTGGCCGATACTGCTTCGGTAAAGCTTTTTACCAATCTCGAAAATTCCTGAGCTTAGTTGATAAATATCTTCAACGCCGGTCCACATTATCAAAGCCAACTATTCGTGCTCTAGAAGATTGCCGAGTACTAGCTGGTAATAATATGGACTTTCTTTATAGCTCTTATCAAACTGTCAATAAGACTAGTAATACCCTATCTACCATGAAAGCCGATGATGTGCAAAGCTTACTCAGTGCCATTTTAACAAACCAACAGACTTGTTTGGATGGCCTGAAAGAAACATCTTCGTCCTCGAGCGTGAACAATGGTATATCAGCCTCTCTTTCTAATGACACAAAACTTTACAGTGTCTCTCTTGCCCTTTTTACAGAAGGCTGGGTTCCTAAGCAACAGAAAAGGGCCACATATCAGCCTACAAGGAAGCAACTCCTTTTTACAAACGGACGTTTACCGCTGAAAATGTCTGCCCAAAATCAGGCTCTTTACGAGTCTGTGAGCAGAAGAAAACTTTCCCAAACCACTGATCAAGTCTTAGTGAGCGATATAGTTATAGTGTGTCAGGATGGGACTGGAAATTTCTCCACCATCAATGATGCTGTTAATGCCGCTCCAAACAATACTGATGGTACCAATGGCTACTTCTTGATATATATCAAAGCGGGTGTGTATGAAGAGTATGTGTCCATTGCCAAGAACAAGAAGTATTTGATGATGATAGGAGATGGCATTAATCAGACAGTGATCACTGGCAACAGAAGCGTTGCTGATGGGTGGACTACTTTCAATTCTGGCACCTTTGGTAAGCATTTATTACTCAACTTTCTCCGTGTACTCCGTTATTATTATTTTTATTTTTATTTTTTTTAACTCAAAAAAACGAGCTTGTTCTGATTATTTCATGAACAAAATTGCAGCTGTGGTGGCACCAAACTTTGTTGCAGTGAACATAACCTTCCGCAACACGGCAGGAGCAGTCAAGCACCAGGCTGTGGCGCTTCGCAGTGGGGCAGATTTGTCTACATTTTACAGCTGCAGCTTTGAAGCATACCAAGATACCTTATACACACATTCTCTAAGGCAATTCTATAGCGAATGCGATATCTACGGTACGGTTGACTTCATATTTGGGAACGCTGCCGTTGTTCTCCAAAACTGTGGCATATATCCCCGGCTGCCGATGAGCGGACAATTTAATGCCATCACCGCACAAGGTCGAACCGACCCTAACCAGAATACAGGCACATCCATTCATAATTGTACGATTAGAGCAGCGGATGATTTGGCTTCAAGCAATCAAACGGTGAACACATATCTGGGTAGACCATGGAAAGAGTACTCGAGAACGGTTTATATGCAGTCTTGTATGGATAGTTTGATAAACCCAGCTGGTTGGCAGATATGGAGTGGAGATTTTGCTCTGAGCACATTATATTATGCTGAGTATAATAACACAGGACCTGGATCGAACACAACCAATAGGGTCACATGGCCTGGTTACCATGTCATTAATGCTACAAATGCCGCAAACTTCACCGTCTCCACTTTCCTCGTTGGGGATGCTTGGTTACCACAAACAGGAGTGCCTTACACTGGTGGTTTATTATAAGCCATAAAATAACTGATCAGTGGATGTAGCTATTTGTTTTTTCTTTTATTTTTATTTGTTTCATACTAATTGTTTTTTTAAGGCAACAAAAGGAGCCATGTATTACCCAAGCTATCCAAATGTATAGCTGGGTATTCGTTCCAAGTTATTTCAGCAATAAAATATATTGATCACTTTAAAAGTTTTGTATTAATTATTATCGATTGAGCAGCAGCTCGCAGACTACCTAAAAAGGAATATTTATTATTTGTTCCATATCTATCAAGATCTGTTTGATAAATCGAATCAGCTAATTATTACTAATTAGTGAATTTGTAAAAGACACACATTCGGGGACCGCAGATCTCCAGAAATAGTCTGGAGATTTACCTTCACGAACAAAAAATTCAGGAAGAGCAGAGGTGGTTGAGATGGTGTGTTCATCTGAAAGACTGAAACTAAAGTAGGAGTAGAGTATGAAATACTCAAATTGGAAAAACAAAACTTCGTTTGTTGCCAAGTAACATCACATAGTACAGAGATTAAAACTAAAGCTGATGGTTTCAGATATTAAAACTGACATTATAAATTTGACGGGAAATTCATTTGTTAACGGAGATTGTGGCTTAAGTGTTGGTGACATGGTCGGAAAATTAGGTAAGGAAATAGTAAACGACGGCTCGTGGTCGCGGCACCGACTAATGAGTCATATAAAAATACATGTCTGTTAGTTTATCTTAATAACTACGATAGCTGCCGAAACCTGAAACCACGAAACCTATGCCAGACGTGGGGGGCTCTATTTCAAAGTCCGATTGAATATCAACTTGTTTGTCTGAAGTCCTAACTTTTAAATCTTGGGAGTTTGAATTCAGAGACTTTGTGTCGTTAATACTCTAGTTCAAGTCTTAAAATTTGACTTTCTTAGGCAGAAACAAAATTATCACAGAACTGGATCATCTTAAAACAAGTCTTAAGGTTGACAAATTAAAATAATTCTTGGGAACCTTCAATCTTTTCGCAGCTCGTGTCCACTTTCTTCCTACCTAGCTAGGTTCCAAGCTTTTGACAAATAATATTTGTATTCTTATTCAGATAGTCGTATTAAGAAACTGCAACTTGTACTGAATTCTTAGATCCCAATAGATTAATTAATGATAATGGGATATGGCCTGCCTTGATAACTTTTAGGTGTGGTATAATTTTATAATTAAAATGCAACGGGAAACTTCAACAAGTTATGCCGAACTTTTGAATTTTTATATGTATGAAACAATTTTAAAATGGTCTATTTAAGTTTTGCTCCAAACTTCATAAATGAAGAATAACATCCCACATAAGTGATGGGAAGATGCTAGCAGAAAGTGATCAGTATTCCAAATTGTTTAATTAGTGATGTAGAGTGGTTTAGATATGTTTAGACTTATAATTTCGTAACCATCTGATGATGACCTCCAAAAGAAACATGAGTTGACTATTAGTGAACCAGGTGACTTGTTTAGGGAAAGAAAATTAGGCTTTGGGGTTACCCTCTTTACGAATACGAAACCATAAACAATTGCTTAAAGAAAAAATGATTAGATTCATTGAGATGTAACAGCGTGCTCACCAAGAATGAGGTCAGAATCAGACTACCATGAAATTCAATCCTCCTGTAGGAAAAATCATGAACTTCCAGATTAATTTTGCTATACAACACATGGCACAATTAAACTTTTTATTGTTTCAGTTTAGAAAAAAATCATGTCATCAGTAAGTAGGAATTTTTATGGATGAGCTGATCCAAATGAAAATCAATTCCAAACCTTCACAATAAACATTGATGTGCAAATCCGACGAACTATATCATATAATTCTCCAAAAATCAGAAGAAATGTGTATTTCAATCGTCAAGTTTTCTCGTTCTGAATCAGGAACTTTTTCTGGAAGCATTCATCTTATTCACCAATCGTTATCACAGAATCGACCAACTGGAAATTCGATTGAAGAATCTGCTAATGCGGCATAGTCGACAACCAGCTGAACTCTAAATATTATATCGAGCTTTATCTCAATAATATAATCTTAATCATAACAATAATAGTAATATAATGTAGTACAAAGATTGAGCTTTAGAATTGACAAATAATAAACACTGAAGCCAGAGATACGGTGATCACTTATGAGCCAAGAGATTCATAATGAGCAAAAGATTATAGCATAATTTGCGAAAGATGTTATTGTGATGAGTTAACAGCCACGACGACTTTCCAGAAGTTGTTGTGTACCCTTGTTCGCATGACTGTGCATCAGAAATTGCTACCTCCACCCAAACACGCACATCTTTATATGCATTTGCCGTTAAAGCAGCAACGGAGTCATCAAGTTGCTCAGACGCGTCCATGTAATTGTCTGTGCAATCATCGAGACTCTGCTCAATCACAGGATCTAAACTCGAGTTCTTGCGTAAGAACGTGATGTACTCCAAGGTATTTGAGGCATTGGAAGATGTGATATTGAGCGCGATCATTGCAAGGCTCGTTAGGTCATGAGTTCTCTCGCTTTCAGGGTTCGTCTTAAAGCTCGAGAAACAGAGCTCCTTGTCCTTGGATTGATTGCAAACTTTATCTAGTAAACTGCCGTTTTGCGTACCATATTGGGTGTTGTTATTGGATTCAAGAGCAACGATTAGAAGAGGCTGTAGTGCGAGGCAAAGGGATAGAGGGAAGAGGAAGATAATGCTGGTTGAAGATCCCATTTGATTTTTCTTCTTTATTCGTTACTACTTTTCTTGAATGATCATTATTGTAGTTTTAAATTAAAAAAAGTTATAACTTAATATTGTTTTTTTCAGTTAAGTTAGTTAAGACAATACAGCTTTTACCATTCTTCAAAAAATTTCCTAAAGGGTTGTTTGTATAGAGAGATTTAAGGAGGACCGCTAAACGTGAGAAAAAAGCGCTTGGCCAATGTCCACCAACGCAATCTGTTACGTTACGTTTCATTCCCTCTTTCAGTTAACTGTTGTGCATCTTCTAATCAATTATGTATATTTATTGTATTACAGCTACAACAATCAAATCAAAAAGTTACCATCTAAATAGTTATATCATAACATAAATTTATGACAACAAATTATTTTGACCCTTAAATTATACAAATTTATTTTATATTACAATAAACTAATGTTTTATATAATTAAATTTTACATACAAATATTTGTAAGGAATGACATTATAACAGATGGATAGAACTGATAAATAATTGCATAATACGAGTCATGTGGCCCTATGAGCTGATGAGACCGGTGTCGGAAATTGACTAGTCAAAGTCAGCGTAAATATCTGACAATAGCTGGCGACATTGGTGAAGCGACAATTTAGGAGCATCTACAACTATTTTCTTTCCTAAAAGTAAGCCATTATTAATTTAGGGGTATTCGGTTGGGGTACCCTATATTTTTTTAAAGAATTGGAATAGATGGTTTCTTGAATTTTGAAATCGGAATCATAATCGACAGTTTTGGTTCTTAGATACCCAGAACTATAACTAAAATCTGTAGCAACGGTTCTGGTTCTAGGTACCCTATAAAATTCATTACCTCCAAAAAATCCATAAAAACTTTCTATTGAGCATTATATCAAACACATTACGTCTGCATATTACTGAAACTAAAGAAATTCAGTGTTAAGATTTGAAATATATTTAAGAAATGCCAACAATGCAATGCCTGAACATAATCTTCGTAGCCACAAAATTAACTTAAAAAGTTGTAATTACAAAATTGAAATAGCACAAGCGGCAAGATCAACAATGGCAGACAAAACAATTCCCTACAATTTCAAGAACAAATAATCAATAGAACCACACTCCAAGATAATGGTAAAACCACATTTTTGTTTCCAAAAACAAACCAACTTCAACTTCGAACACTGACAACCCTCACTTCCCATTTTAGCATCAACATCTTCAAAGTAAGAAACTTTCTACTCATTAGCCATAAAGAACAAGAACCCACTAAGAAAATACAAAAACAAAACAGAAAAAGAATTAAAAAAAAAAAAGAAAAAACTGACCTGAGTATGTGAGTAAAAGAGGTGAAAAGTGAATTGAAGTGAAGTTCGAGAATAGTGTGGAAGTGGGTAAGTGAGGGGTTAGGGTTTTGAGTTAAAAGGGAAAATTTTTGAAGGTGAGTTTAGTTGGGAGTTGAGTTTGAGAGGAGTATTTTGTCTGTGCATGAATGTTGTTTGAGTAAGAGAAAGAGTGACATAGACGTGAGTGAACAGGGAGAAAGAGTGACATAGACGAAGAGAACTGGTGAAGAGAACTGGTAAGGGGAGAAAGAAACAATAAATTTTTTTGCCCTAATGTAAAGTTTTTATATGTGACAGGTAAATTACAAAAAAAAACCCCACTCCTTAATAATTTTTCATTTCAGTCCCGATTCTCAGTTCCGATTCCGGTTCTTGACTATAGAAACTAGAACCTACGCGTTGACGATTGGTTCTAGGTTGGAACTAGAACCAAACCCCGGGTACCCAACGGTTCCAGTTCCGAACGGTTCTTTTGAACACCCCTAATTATTATATGAAGAGTAAACGACATTTTCCCACCCAAGGTTTGGCGAATGCACAGTGCCCACCCCTAGTTTCATAAATTGCAGATTCACACCCTTAAATTAACACCGTTACTTTTTTTCTCAAAATAACCCCCACATCTCAAATTTCTCTCAAATAACCCATAAAGATCTCGGCCAAGCCACAAATCCAGCCTGATTCTGGCAACATTGGACCTCCTCGACACCACCATTAGCATCTATTTATCCTCCTCACTAAAACCTCTAACTTTTCCACTCGATTGAACCTCAGCGAGGTGTCGGAATTTGGCTGGAAAGATACAACAAAACGCGAAAACCTAAGAGAGAGGCGACGACGATTGGTAGGCAATTGCGATTGGCGATGTTGGGGGTTTTGGTGGGGGGAAGCCAATGATGCTATTAGTGGTGTTGGGGGTGGTTTCTGGTGTCGAGTCCTACCAAAATTTGAATGAAATGCCGACTGAAACTAAGAGCGGTGACCGACGATTGGGAGGTTCAATCAGGCAGAGAAGTTAGGGATTTTGATGTAGGGGTTGAGGGGATTGTAATGGTGGTGTCGAGAGGGGCCGACTGCGCCGGAAACAGGCTGGAATGGCCTAAAATCATCGGTGGGGTGAATTTGAGAATTGAAGGGTTATTTTAAAATTTTCATCTTTGAAATGACCATTTTACCCTTTTAACTGTTAGATTAAACAATTTTCTATTAATTTAAGGATGGAAATCTGGAATTTATGAAACTAGAGGTGGGAACTTGCAGGTTCACCAAACCTTGGGTGGGAAAATATCGTTTACTCTTATATGAATTGATATTTAAACTTTTGGCCCTCTTATATTTTATCAGCAAAAAGTTAGGAGTAAGACCAATGTAATTATGTAAGTAGCCTACACAAAATCAAAATTTTATTAAGTTAGCATTTAACGTGTACAACTTGGAGCAGGAAAAACAAAATGAATCATCCCTGCGTCGTCGAGTGGTTGTCTGAGTTCAAGTCACTCGGTTTCTAACAGGATGACCAGTATCGTTGTCAAAAAAAAAAAAAAAAAAAAAAGGAAAAACAAAATGTACATTACTTTGTCCCAAGTTACATTAAGCTTGGTGTGTTTTTTCTCCGATGTCAACCCCGATTACCCGAAGATTTGAACCCAGTTTCTTCAGGTGCATCTAAACCCATGTCATCCAGACCTCCAGAGTCCACTTTAGGCATGTCCACTAATACATCCACTAGCTCCAGAGGCGGTAAAGTAGAAGACGAACAACCTGTTTCACCTTCCTCCCCTGCAGTAACTGAACCGGCCGGTTCAGTCACTGACACCATCTCTTCCACCGATTGTGCTGATGGGGGGACTGGATTATCTAGTTGAACCGGGGTTCGACAGAGTGGACAATTAGAGTGAGAGTGAAACCACATGTCGATGCAGTCAACATGGAATGAATGATTACACATAGGCAAGACACGGCCTTTCTCCTCGTCTTCAAATTCTGATAAGCACACCGCACATTCTGGCTGATGTTTGTGAGTGTTAGAGGCGTAAACAAAAGTAGGGATTTTTTTTAGGGTAGAAAGGTCTAAAGCTTGATTAGGAAGGGCACCTATGTGATTATTGTTGGTAAAATTAGTGGTGGAGGAGAGAAAGAAGTGGTGGTGGCCGGTATGGCCATGGCGGCGGTGAAAGTTCCTCCTGGCGTAGCTGTGGAACCAAACTAAGATTAAAACTACAATGAACATGATGATGACTAAAGATAGCATTATCTTTCCACTAAAATTGTAGTTGTTCGGATTGTGATGACTGGTTACTGTGAAGGTTGCTGTGTTATAGTCCATGAGTTGACGACAGAAGTAAAAATGGGTTTCACAGAATTGTGAAGTGAGTGAGAGTTGGGTTTTATTGGGGAATGCGATGAGAAAGAGAAAGGAAGGTTCCTATGTGCTGAGTTTGATTGATTTGCCTCTTTGATATTTGGCGGATTTTATTAGTGTTTTTTTAATTTTTAAATATTTTATTCTGATTCCAAATCAAAATTCCATTAGGCTTCGTTTGGTTGGATTTTGAGAATACTACTTTTAGTATTCCCAAAAAAGTTAAACAGTAAAATATCCAAAAACTCATAATATTATTCAACTTTATTCAACTTTTTTTAAATCCCCTAAATTTGTTAATTTAATTAAATACCCCTAAATATTTTTAATGTTTTTGTTACAGCGACTCCGGCCACCCTCCGACGGTGGTGGTCGGCTGTCCGTATTTGAGGGTGGATTGGAGGTGTTTTTATTAACTTTTAATGTTTTATTATAGGGAGTGTTTTGTAAAAAAATAAACATAGAGGGTATTTTATTAATTTGTAAATCATACATCGTAATACCCGCCCAATTCAACTTTTTTTTAACTTTTTTCAAAAAACTTTTTCCAAAAACCCAAAATTTTGAACCAAACAAAGCTTTATTTTCCTGTTCTCCAAATTTTATTCCAAATTATTCAATTATTTTTAATTTTTAAATTTTACCTCATAATAACTATCCAATTATATCGTAATAACCACATAACTCTATTTAATAATAATATTTCAAAAATACTACTTTAAATAATTAAAAAATATGTTTATTTCTCTATCCTATTAATATTCCAAATCAAAATGTATATTTGTTTCTCCATTCTCAAAATTTTATCTTAAATTATTCAACTATTTTTAATTTTCAAATCATACTTCCTAATAACCACACAACTCTATCTAATAATAATATTTCAAAAATATTACTTCAAATAACTAAACAAACGCGTTTGTTTCCCTATCTTATTCGTATTCCAAATCAAAATGCATATTTATTTTTCTATTCTCAAAATTTTATCATAAATTATTTAATTATTTTTAATTTTGAAATTCTACTTCATAATAACCACATAATTCTACTTAACAATAATATTTTAAAAATACTACCGGAAATAACTAAACAAGCACACCTGTATGTACTTCCTGAATTAGCCATTGGGAATTTAATGCCTATTAGGAATACAGATTTGAATAATGTAACTAGTGTTGACGATGAAATTGAAGATGAATAATTTAATAAAAAAATTATTTAATTGTTTATTTGTGAAGCGTGAATGTGTGAAATATGAATATTATATTTATATTAAAAATTAAAATTAACTATTAATTTATTATTTTTTAAAATTAATTAAATTTTTAGAAACTTACTAATCAACCCCTAAAAAATACTAAAAAACCCCCTATAAAATTTCGTTTTGCCCCCAAAATATAAAAAAAAAATTGAGGGGGGAAAATAAAATTTTCCAAACCCCATGGGACCGGTCCTGGGCCCATGGGACCAGACCCGGACCAGGCCTAAGGCCTAGTCCGAGTCCTGATTTTTCTCATGGGCCTGGGACCGGTCCCAGGCCCATGAGAGACTGGTCCCAATTGGGACCAGTCCCAAACGGGCCCAGGCCTGGGCCCGCAAGGGACCGGTCCCTTGCCCAGGTATACTCACATCTCAAATTTCTCTCAAATAACCCATAGAGATCTCGACCAAGCCAAAATCCACCCTGATTTCGACACCATTGGACCTCCTTGACACCACCATCAACATCTCTTTATCCTCCTCACTAAAACCCCTAATTTTTTCACTCGATTGAACCTCAGTGAGGTGTCAGAATTTGGCTAGAAAGACATGACAAAACGTAAAAACCTAAGAGAGAGGCGACGGCGATCGACAGGCAATTGCGATTGGCGATGTTGGGTTTTGGTGGGGGGAAGCTAGTGATACTATTGGTGGTGTTGGGGGTGGTTTCCGATGTCAAGTCCTACTGAAATTTGGATGAAACGCCGACTAAAACTAAGAGTGGTGGCCGACAATTGGGGGGTTCAATCAGGCGGAGAGGTTAGGGGTTTTGATGTAGGGGTTGAGGGAATTGTAATGGTGGTGTCAAGAGGGTCCGACTGCATCGAAAACAGGCTGGAATGGCCTAAAATCACCGATGAGGTAAATTTGAGAAGTGAAGGGTTATTTTAAAATTTTCATCTTTGAAATAACTATTTTACCTTTTTAACTATTAGATTAAATAGTTTTCTGTTAATTTAAGAGTGAGAGTTTTCTGTTAGTTTAAGGGTGGGAATCTAGAATTTATGAAACTAGGGGTGGGAACTAGGAACTTGGAGATTCGCCAAGCCTTGGGTGGGAAAATATTGTTTACTCTTATATGAATTGATATTTAAACTTTTGGCCCTCTTATATTTTATCAGCAAAAAGTTAGGAGTGAGACCAATGTAATTATGTAAGTAGCCTACACAAAATCAAAATTGTATTAAGTTAGCATTTAACGTGTACAACTTGGAGCAGGAAAAACAAAATGAATCATCCCTGCGTCGTCAAGTGGTTGTCTGAGTTCAAGTCACTCGGTTTCTAACAGGATGACCAGTATCGTTGTCAAAAAAAAAAAAAAAAAAAAAAGGAAAAACAAAATGTACATTACTTTGTCCCAAGTTACATTAAGCTTGGTGTGTTTTTTCTCCGATGTCAACCCCGATTACCCGAAGATTTGAACCCAGTTTCTTCAGGTGCATCTAAACCCATGTCATCCAGACCTCCAGAGTCCACTTTAGGCATGTCCACTAATACACCCACTAGCTCCAGATGCGGTAAAGTAGAAGACGAACAACCTGTTTCACCTTCCTCCCCTGCAGTAACTGAACCGGCCGGTTCAGTCACTGACACCATCTCTTCCACCGATTGTGCTGATGGGGGGACTGGATTATCTAGTTGAACCGGGGTTCGACAGAGTGGACAATTAGAGTGAGAGTGAAACCACATGTCGATGCAGTCAACATGGAATGAATGATTACACATAGGCAAGACACGGCCTTTCTCCTCGTCTTCAAATTCTGATAAGCACACCGCACATTCTGGCTGATGTTTGTGAGTGTTAGAGGCGTAAACAAAAGTAGGGATTTTTTTTAGGGTAGAGAGGTCTAAAGCTTGATTAGGAAGCGCACCTATGTGATTATTGTTGGTAAAATTAGTGGTGGAGGAGAGAAAGAAGTGGTGGTGGCCCGTATGGCCATGGCGGCGGTGAAAGTACCTCCTGGCGTAGCTGCGGAACCAAACTAAGATTAAAACTACAATGAACATGATGATGACTAAAGATAGCATTATCTTTCCATTAAAATTGTAGTTGTTCGGATTGTGATGACTGGTTACTGTGAAGGTTGCTGTGTTATAGTCCATGAGTTGACGACAGAAGAAAAAATGGGTTACACAGAATTGTGAAGTGAGTGAGAGTTGGGTTTTATTGGGGAATGGGATGAGAAAGAGAAAGGAAGGTTCCTATGTGCTGAGTTTGATTGATTTGCCTCTTTGATATTTGGCGGATTTTATTAATGTTTTTTAATTTTTAATCGATGTTTGTTTAAATATTTTATTCTGATTCCAAATCAAAATTCCATTAGGCTTCGTTTGGTTGGATTTTGAGAATACTACTTTTAGTATTCCCAAAAAAGTTAAACAGTAAAATATCCAAAAACTCATAATATTATTCAACTTTATTCAACTTTTTTTAAATCCCCTAAATTTGTTAATTTAATTAAATACCCCTAAATATTTTTAATGTTTTTGTTACAGCGACTCCGGCCACCCTCCGACGGTGGTGGTCGGCTGTCCGTATTTGAGGGTGGATTGGAGGTGTTTTTATTAACTTTTAATGTTTTATTATAGGGAGTGTTTTGTAAAAAAATAAACATAGAGGGTATTTTATTAATTTGTAAATCATACATCGTAATACCCGCCCAATTCAACTTTTTTTTAACTTTTTTCAAAAAACTTTTTCCAAAAACCCAAAATTTTGAACCAAACAAAGCTTTATTTTCCTGTTCTCCAAATTTTATTCCAAATTATTCAATTATTTTTAATTTTTAAATTTTACCTCATAATAACTATCCAATTATATCGTAATAACCACATAACTCTATTTAATAATAATATTTCAAAAATACTACTTTAAATAATTAAAAAATATGTTTATTTCTCTATCCTATTAATATTCCAAATCAAAATGTATATTTGTTTCTCCATTCTCAAAATTTTATCTTAAATTATTCAACTATTTTTAATTTTCAAATCATACTTCCTAATAACCACACAACTCTATCTAATAATAATATTTCAAAAATATTACTTCAAATAACTAAACAAACGCGTTTGTTTCCCTATCTTATTCGTATTCCAAATCAAAATGCATATTTATTTTTCTATTCTCAAAATTTTATCATAAATTATTTAATTATTTTTAATTTTGAAATTCTACTTCATAATAACCACATAATTCTACTTAACAATAATATTTTAAAAATACTACCGGAAATAACTAAACAAGCACACCTGTATGTACTTCCTGAATTAGCCATTGGGAATTTATGTGTTGGATTTCGTGGTTTCGGCAAATTTATATTTTGTTCTTTATTTTGGTAACTTACTCTACATAAAGAAAATTATTGCTCTTTTTTATTTATATTCAGTTGTATACCTCATGGTTTTATTATTGCGTTGATTTTGATAACATTAACAAAGGCAATCTTTTGCATTCGGCGTTATCTTCAATATATAGCCAATCCTACGCACAGTATCATCCTTTAGGCCTTACCAATTTAGTGAGGCCTAATTTGCTAGCATTTATATATGTAACTTTCGGTGGTGTTTACTGAGTGGGGTTTATTAAACGGGCCAAATTAATCCAAACTAGATGACATTATATAATAAGAATAGACGTTTTAAATATCAATCAAGTTGGCAGCACCATCACACTCTAATCCAATGAATTTATTGAGTAGGGGAATTTTCGTCCTCCACATCTATTGTCATTCAGTGAACGAACTTATTATTAATGTAGTCGTAGATGGCTGCACGCCCATTAAAAAAAAAACAAAAACAAAAACAAAAATCTGAAAATTAGTCAAAACATTCCTTTGCTTTCATGAATTTAAGTTTATGCATCCACTTGGTTGAGGAGGGATCTATCCAGCAACATGGGTGAACTTATCCAAAAACCAAAATATCTTGTCCAAAGTACGACAACTAAGTGCAGTTATAAATGATCCAAGCCAATGGGCGCGCCTAGGAAAGGAATAGTGGGTCAATTATTATATGTATTTTGACAAGAGATTTCATCCAAAACCTGTTAAGAAGTTTCTTTAGCTTGTCTGTTAATAATAATTCCTTAATACTAATTAATATAAACGCAATTTGAGATGACAGTGACAAAGATATCTTAGAACAAAAAGGGTTTTAGATAAATCCACAAAATAATGTGGGTGAGGGTGAGCATATATACGGGATCCTACAATATGGTGACTGGACCATTGTTAACATATTGGTTGTGTTGGGTTTCCCCACCGTTTTATATTCTCTCCAATCCAACAAGAAAATCAAAGTCTTTCACCCCATGCATGCTTTCCATCATATTTTATTATGATATCTCTTTTTGCTGGTATTTTCACTTGTTTAAAGTCCCATCACAAAAGTGTTTGATTGTATTTTAGAATTATCCTTTCAACCTGTCCCTGCTTCAATGCAAATGGAATTATCTTTCCTGTCTTTGATGTTATTCTACCATCTAAGAGCATCTATGATGCTGTTTATTTTAAAAAATATTTTTTATATAAATAAAAAGTATTTTAATTAATTTTTAAATATAAAAAATAAATTGTTTATTCAAATTCAATAGACTCTTTAAGAAAAAAAAAACTTAATAGAAGAGATAAACCGTAAATAAAATGAAAAAAAACTTGTAATTTATTATTTAAAATTATGATAGAAAGTGAAATTTGATTCTTTAAATATGGAGAGTCAAATTCACTCTTTATTAAATAAACTCTTTATAATAAAGAGTTTGATCTTTATAATAAAAATTTTGAGTTATTTAAAGAATTATTTGGAGATGTTATAAGATTTTCTCTTTATCTATTGAATTTACGGCTAGTAATAAATGATATGTAATAAATCTATCTATAAATTAGAGGAGTAATCGCATATCACAATTTGATTTATTTATATCCAAATCCACGTATGTTTTACAATAAACAATTTGGGCATGGTATGTTTTTGGGTGGACTTTATTAAGTGGGCTCTTCCAAAAGTGTAGCTGAGCCTACCAGCTGAGCTTCAATAAATGTCGGCTACAAGCAGTAGGCTGCCTTTACTAGCCCCACGCGAAAAAAACAAAGGTTTGTACCAGAAAATTTTAAGGAAACGGAGTCTGATATGGGCATCTCATTTTGTAGAGACTTATCAAATTAAATGAGTATAAAAATAGAAGAAAAATATCTGATTTTAGTTTCAGTTTTAAATGAGTAATTCATAGTTACCTACTTCCATTTATAACAAAAAGTAGTAAATTAAATTTGATTATTTATTTTGATGCAATGCCATTACTAAATGAATGAAAACTATCTGATTGTTTATGGCTGGTGGCAAAGTTTAACAACCAACCACTTTGATTTAATAAATAATTTTAATAAGATTGGGTAATTAAATTAGTTAAAGAAAAGAAATGAATATTTGCATGGGATTTNTAATAATAAATGATATGTAATAAATCTATCTATAAATTAGAAGAGTGATCGCATACCACAATTTGATTTATTTATATCCAAATCCACGTATGTTTTACAATAAACAATTTGGGCATGGTATGTTTTTGGGTGGACTTTATTAAGTGGGCTCTTCCAAAAGTGTAGCTGAGCCTACCAGCTGAGCTTCAATAAATGTCGGCTACAAGCAGTAGGCTGCCTTTACTAGCCCCACGCGAAAAAAACAAAGGTTTGTACCAGAAAATTTTAAGGAAACGGAGTCTGATATGGGCATCTCATTTTGTAGAGACTTATCAAATTAAACGAGTATAAAAATAGAAGAAAAATATCCGATTTTAGTTTCAGTTTTAAATGAGTAATTCATAGTTACCTACTTCCATTTATAACAAAAAGTAGTAAATTAAATTTGATTACTATTTATTTTGATGCAATGCCATTATTATATGAATGAAAACTATCTAATTGTTTATGGCTGGTGGCAAAGTTTAAAAACCAACCACTTTGATTTAATAACTAATTTTAATAAGATTGGGTAATTAAATTAGTTAAAGAAAAGAAATGAATATTTGCATGGGATTTTATTGAATGGGCTATTCCCGATGTAGACACCTGAACTTCATTTAATGTGTGGGCTTTAAATAGTTAAATGAGTATTTGCATGGGATTTTATTGACAACAACAAATATGTTAATGCGGCCAATTAGTTCGCCAATAACTATTTTCAGGAATCAGTACTGATGGACTGAGTGTGCTTATTTGATTGGGTAGTATTATTTTGTCAATAAAATTTTCATTTACCATCCAACTAATCTCTGTCACCTACTTTCATTTATAAATTCAACAATCGAAATTGATGACTTCTCTAGCAAATAGAGGAAGATATTTTTATTGTCAATTTGGTTTTTTAAAACTAGTTTACTTATTCTTCTTTTGACTTTACCTTGCACGAGGACGATGTAGATGATGTTTGTTATTTGACTACTTATTTTTGGGTGACATATATTAGTTGAGAAAATGATTTTCTTCGTATAAACCTTCTTTTAATAATAATAATAATGGGTTATGCTTTGAAAACTCAATTGTTTAACTATCAATAACCTTCCATTATAATAATAATATAAGAGGGTGTTTGGTTCCCACAATGTTTTGTTATAAAAATATAGAATTATAGTGAGATAAATAACCTTCGTCACAGTTGAGGGAGCCGAGTCTTTACAATTTCCTTTTGAAGATGGAGAAGATAGAGCACACAACAGTGGCCACCAATGGTATAAACATGCATGTGGCGTCAATAGGCACAGGCCCTCCAGTTCTGTTTCTCCACGGCTTCCCTGAACTCTGGTACTCTTGGCGTCACCAGCTACTCTATCTTTCTTCCCAGGGTTATCGTTGCATAGCCCCGGATCTTCGAGGGTACGGTGACACCGATGCCCCGCCCTCCGTCACGTCATACACGGCTCTCCACATCGTTGGTGACCTTATTGGGCTCCTTGATAATTTGGGTATTGAGCAGGTTTTCTTAGTGGGTCATGATTGGGGTGCTTTGATTGCTTGGCAGTTTTGTTTGCTTCGGCCAGATAGAATCAAGGCCTTGGTCAACCTCAGTGTCGCATTTAATCCCAGAAACCCAAAGTTTAAGCCTGTGGATGGCTTCAAGGCGCTGTTTGGTGATGATTTTTATATTTGTAGGTTTCAGGTAATTCTTGTTTCTCCTTATTTCCTTTTTTTTTTTTTTTTTTGTTTGATTTTTGAGTGACATGATTGGGAATTAATTGGTGTTTGTATGGAAGAGAAGTCACCCTTCTTGCTGATTGTTTAATCTTTGGTAAGTTGTTATGATTCTCTTTCTATATTAAGCAACTCTGTTTTCTTCGGCATAAATTAGTCCAAACAGAATTTGTTCGTGTCCCGTAGTTTCCTCCAGCATATCTTGACTTATATTCTAAGATGATTGTGAACTATGTTGCCTAATAGCTTTTGTTGTTTTAGCCTTCTAAGTCTGTGTTTAATTTTGAACCACCGGGTGTACATTAATAGAATTTACGGATGCTTGTGGATTAATGTTGCTGTTGCTGTATTTATTTTGTTCATTAAGGCTTTCGTGTAGCCAACTCCTTTCCGCAGTAAAAGACAAATAATAATCTTAAACAAGCTAAAGAGAGGTCTGGTTTTGGTGAATGTTGTTTAATATCCCTTACTTTGAGTTGTGACACATTAGCTAATTTGGCTAGCTAAGATGATTTTCAGAGTTAGTTAGCCTGTTAATCTTAGAGTGGTATAACTCTTAATGAGAAAAGTGTTTTACTAGTTGCTCTTATTAAGTGAAGTGTTTTACCAGTTACAGGTAATTGTTGATAGGTCCAATAAATTTCTCAGGTATGTTCTTCATTTTCTTTGATCTATCCAAAAAACCAATGCTAAATTTGTTTGAGATATACAGAGTTGATTTTGGACCAGAGATGCTAATAATTGTACATTTAAAAGACACATACTCTATTTAAATTTAAGCTAATTTGTTATTCAAAGATCACTCTTTGCATCAGAACTGTGTCTTTAAATAACTGTAAGGTAAGAACATTGAATATGACTTGTGAGAGATGATTAAGTCTACCAAAATTAAGCATATAGGTGTGGAACTCGGTCAAGTTTTTAGCAATTTGTTGTCAATTTCCTTTGGCAGTAAAACACTGGCAATAATCCTTTCATCTGTGTTATAATAAATGAGCAAGAGCGTTATATTTTTTCCTTCAATATAGAAGAAATGTCGATACAAAAATGCTTTATGATCCAGTTACAATTTTGAGTTCGGTTCCCAATTATTGCATAATTTTCGGAGTTTTTCTTCTAGACTCTCCTATTTATTTATTTTTCATAATTCTTGAATCCCTTAAATTAGTTTTCTTAATAAATATTGCTAAATTTGTGCTGTAGGAACCTGGAGAGATTGAAGAAGACTTTGCTCAAATTGATACTGCAAAGCTTTTGAAGAAATTTCTTGCATCTCGCAGTCCAAAACCTCCTTGTATTCCCAAAGAAATAGGATTTAGAGGTCTACCAGATCCTCCAACCTTGCCTCCTTGGCTATCTGAAGAAGATGTCAACTATTACGCAACCAAATTTAACCAGAAAGGCTTTACCGGAGCATTGAACTACTACCGTTGTATGAACTTGTATGTTCGTCAACTTATATCATAGCATAAGAGGGTCAGATATCATCTTTATAGGATACATCTTCCATGCCTTGTATATGAAGCCTGTTATGTTTTTTGAAAAATTAAGCTTGTTTTTTGATGGCTTATATAGAAACTTAAACCTTCCACCCATGTTTGTCATTCATAGCAGGAGCTATTTGATGCACGTGCCCTTTTGACTCATCTAGTTTGCGTGTTTTGGGTGGCTTAATATTACGAACTTTAACATATCAACTGTATACTTTATATTAAACAATCTATTGCCCAACATGGAGTTTGGCTCTAGGATTAATAAGCATATTAGAATATAACCTTGGAATTTCTTGGGTTGGAAACAGGAATAATAAACCCTTTTTATTATTATTATTAATCTTTTTTTATTTTTTATTTTTTATTTATTTATTTATTTTTTTTGCAGAAACTGGGAGCTTACAGCAGCATGGACAGGTTCTCAAATCAAAGTTCCGGTTAAGTTTATCGTGGGTGACCTGGACCTTACTTATCAGTTTCCAGGTGTGAAGGAATATATAAACAATGGTGGTTTCAAGAGAGATGTACCATTTCTTCAGGAAGTAGTTGTAATGGAAGGGGGAGCCCACTTTCTCAGCCAAGAAAAGCCAGAGGAAGTCAATGCACACATTTATGACTTCATAAAAAAGTTCTGATGGCATTTGCCATTTTAGCATGCCGCATCCTTGAAGGTCTGATCTATTATTTTCATTTCTAGTTTGGTGGAAAGAATCCGTGTAGGTCTGGTTGGAGATAGGGCCTTGTCTGCTTATCTTGTATCTTGTTGGAGGATTTTCCATCCTTCATCAGTTCTATTTGGTTCTGTTTCATTTCATAACCAATGAATAAGAATAGAGGTAGCTGCCACCTTGTGGACTGAGGTTGGTTTTAGATTTGATCATGTTTGTAAATTTGGGGTGTCAGGCATGTACCTACTACGCTATCAAACCAACAATAATATGAAAAACTTGGGTCTCAATTATATCTTTTGTTTCTGTATGAATTATTTTCTTATTCTTGACTAAAATTTGATGTGGGGATGAGCAATGACAAGAAGCATAAAGCACTTCATGAAGTCAGACGTCGCATCTTAAGTTCATCCATATTTTCTGAAGGAACTTATTTTTCTTTACGACCCTTGATTTATTCGACTTTAGAACATGACTGGTTATGGTTAAAACGGAGCAGATAGGAAGGATATCAACCCGATTAAGATTTAAGATTTGTATCAATAATCACTGTTCAGAAAGCTAGGAATCACAAACTCAAGGCGATAGTTTAAATATCAACCAAACCTTAAGAAAACGATTCATTAATTGCTAGAACACAAACAAATATGAAATATCAACCGTTTTCCATCGCAGGAAACATGCCCACTGGCCAAAAATTAATATTATTGATACGTACAAGTCCCCTCTAAAACTAAAGTTTCATTATTCAATATCAAATGAAGACAATATATTAGTCCATTTCAATCGATTAAATCAAAGCCCAATCTCTGGGCAACCGCAAATGTGACACTAATTAGCTAAAGTCGCAGTGCCCCGCCCGCGAATCAAATAAAAAACATTCAATTCAACCACCCACACCGCAACTTTCAGGAACTCGTGCAAAATTTAAAACCACTCAACGCAATAATCACTACATAACAAATCCTTCAAGAATACGCGATGTCATCTTCCAAATAAAAATAACGAAAGATTCAAATTTAAACAGGCTAATATAAGATAATTATTTTGTTCCTCATAAGTGAAAAAAAAAAATAAGGTCAAAAAAGAAAGTACAAGATTTGCATGATTTGGTAAGCTGGTCTGTATCATTTCTGTAAGAGTTGTGCAACTCAAACCCTGAAGCCTCTGCTGTTTCTCCTTCCTCTAGCTCTCTCAAATTTCCTTCCCTTGGATCGCACATATGGTTTTGTGTGGCTGTGTGGCACACCCGGAGCTGGTCCGAAGTGCTTCACAGCCTCACGTGAATTCTTTGGCCCTCTCAGGAGAACCTAAATTTAGCAGTAAAATTCACATAGATAAAATCAGGATTCCTCAGCTTAAGCAATTTTTAAATTAAAAAAAATTCCTTTCACTTCTAGAAAGGAAAGAATAAAGCCAAATAACACGCACAAAAAAAAAAATAAAAAAAAATAATTCAATAGATGGTGAGAACACAGAGCATAATAATGTTACAATTGAGAAGTAACAATTAAAATTACACAGTGAAAAGTGATGATGATTACTAAGTATTCATAAACTCCATTAGTACGTTAATATACAATTGCAGATCCTATTAAATTTTGAAGGTTCAAAACTTGGCCAGTCAATGAATGACTAAAGATTCCAAGATGTAAATTTTGTTATTTGAACAATACTAACTCAATAGGAGACAATACATAACAAACATCAAAGACATAATTTAGGTTCTGAACACTAAGCAATAATGACCACTTCCATGATCAAGGAAGTGACCCATGATTCCTAAAGCTAAGGCATGATTCCTAAGAGTGAGGGGCAAGTAACTACCATTATCAAAAACCCTTGTAAAAGGACCTCAAATCGAAGAAGGGACAAGTCAAATTAGCTATATTAAACCTTTATGCTATCATTTTATTCTTTTTATTTCTCATTCACTTGTAAAGCTCCATCAAAACTCAATTCTATGTACCTTTTGTGATATAGGGGTTCCTAATCATGGGTAGTTAGCTTGCACCTTAGGTTCAGGAATCATGGGGCATATTGATATAATGTGCACTTTCGTCTTGGGAAAGTGAGCTACAACTTGTAACCCATGTGGGTTTGGACCCTTGGTCCTTTTCTAGGACTACCTTAATTTTATAGGCTGATATCTTGTTATTTGGGCTTGGCCTAGGATGGTTTTGCCTCTTGAATTGGGCCTCTTAAGGCCTTTATTTTTGGCCTAACATAAGCCCCTCAAATCCCTAATTAATGCATGAATTAATATAAATATTAATTAAGGATTTTGGGGGGCTTATGTTGGACAAAAAATAAAGGCCTTAGGAGGACAAATCAAGGGACAAATAAAGAAGCCTGCAGGCCAAGCCCAAAAATAAAAGAAGTCAGCCCATACGAATAATAAGATGGTCCAAGGGCCCAATCCAAATGAAAAAAGGGGTTAACAGAGAAAAATGGGGCACATCCATCAACATGTCCCATTATCAAGATTATACCCCATGACTCCTAACCTTAAGACATAAGTTAACCACACATGACCAAAAACCCCTATAAAAGCACATGCAATTGAAGAAGATGGGCAAGTCAAATTCTACTACACCGACAAGCAAGCTTAATCACACTTAGGCCTTATGCTACCAATATTGTTTCTTTACTTTATATATATTCTTGTAAGCTCCATCAAATTCAGTTCTTTGCACCTTTTTGTGATTAAAGGGGAAAACAAAATAGCACTCTCATCAAGAGTTATGTTATTCTTACTCAGAGAACATCAGTAGAGCTCAACATTCATTTGAATAGAAGTTATTCATCTGGCCTATGCCAATTAAATCATTCATTCACATACATGAAGAAACTCAGCTCAACATTTGAAATAGAACGGAGTAAAAATGATTACACTTTAAATAAAAAAGAAGGGATTAATCAATTGAATTCATACTGTATTCTGCCCAAGGGGAGCTCGAAGTGCCAGCTGGTCAAATGTCAAGCATTCTCCACCCGCTTTCTCAATCCTTGCCCTTGCTGTCTCTGTGAACCTCAGTGCAGTAACTTTTAGAGCAGGAACTTCATACACACGAATATCATCAGTGACTGTCCCAACAACCACTGCAATCTTATCCTCCTGGAAATTAACCCAAGAACAAAGTCAATCAAAACACCAACAGGTTGTATAGAAATTTCTATTACATGATAGAAAGGGACCCAAGAAGCAAACCTAGGATTCATAAAAGATAGATAATATTTGATTTACAAGTTTTTCATCTTTTACATTCCCGCCAAACAAACTATTGAACCTTGACAAGCCTAACAGATTATACGAGTCAACTACACCAGATGGACCCAATTCTCGGTGCTAAAATTCAACCTATTACTATTTTCTCCTCTATTTGTATTTGTGATCAACTAAGTAGTGTCTTGAAATAGAAACCCAACCTAGCAGATCCTAATTTCAACTGGATGAATACCTTAATGTTTCATTTCCAATCATAAGTTACGGAAAACAAACAAATAAAGTAAACACATTTGGTTTTCTCTGAATGTGATTGAAAAATACAGACACAGACAAAGAGAATTACCTTTCCCCTCATGAATGGAATCAAACGTGAGAGGGACAATGGTGGTTTGTTGACCTTGCTCATGAAGAGCCTCTTCAGTATCACCGCATTGAACTTGCTATCAGTCCTTCTCACAAGAAACCGATACAGCTGTCCACATATCAAGAAAGTAAATCCCTAACATGATCATACACAGAACAGATAAATTATAGGTAAAAACATAAAACCAAAGTCGAGAGAAACCTTGACGAGGAGCTTGAGGTATACATCGTCAGATTTAGGGGCCGTTCTCTTGGACTTCTTGCTCTTACCACCGGCAACTAAATCGATGCCCTTAAAATAACAAATAAAATAAATTTATAAAAAAATGAGCCAAATAAACGAAAACATTCATTCGTTAGGGTTTAGAAACGAAGGGGACGAACGTACCATTGCTGGTTGTTGTTGTTACTGCTGCGGCTGATTGCCTCAACTGTTTACCAGCAATACTCTTCCAAGGAGGCTAGGGTTTTAGTGTCACGTCTTATTTTGTAGCCATAGTTGGGGAGAATGTCACGTACTACCCTTAAAGTTTTCAAATTACACCCGAACGATAATTTTTACATTCTTTAAATGGAACCCTGAAAGTTTGAAAATTGTATCATTGATATCCTGGCTTCGCTTGCCCAGATTGATAATGTCCTATTTTGGTGGATGTATATATCCAATCAGTGGCAATGATATTTTATTTAAAGGCTTGGTATACCTCTGGAGTTTAGACCCATTTAATTTGATTTAATGATTAATGAATGTTGGTCAATTTTAATAGGTCTATGTAATATGGATGGGCGAAACAAATTTTTATTAAATTTAAATTTACCTCAACTTTTAGCAAATATATGAAATGATAACATTAATTAGACGGTCATATACATAACAATTGTTTAGGATTATAATAAATTCCTTTGGACAATACCATGGATTGTATTGATAAAAAATGATACTGTTATATAGTGCGTTATCATTTATCATTAATTATTAATTGATTATAATAAAAATTTATGTGGCATATACCAGGGTTTTAAAACTCGGCCGGTTGAACCGGTTCGATCGAGAACCGATGGCTAGACTAGGTCGGTTCATGTTAAAAACCGGAAATAACAATTGACCCAGTTGAACCAGTTTTTTGCCAATGAATCACTGGTTCAACCGGTAAAACCCGGGTTGCTACAGTAAAAATAATAAAATTAAAACTTAAAATAACCCTTTTCAGCTTTCCTCATCTTCCTTCCCCATTTTCATTCGACAAAACCAAACCAACAGAGAAGAAAAATCGAAGAAACCCATTACCAAAAACGAAATCAGCTTTTCTCTTCTCCCTTCCCCAATTTTATTCAACAAAACCAACACCAGTAGAGAAGAAAAATAAAAAAACCCATTACCAAAAACGAAATCAGCTTCTACGATCTTGGGCTTCTTTGATTCAGATTTCAATCATCAAAATCTTCAACTAATCTTCAATCTTCGGGCCTTGGACGACTTCTAAATCTCTAATCTTCTAGATTCGGTTTTCATAGCTTCTTCTTCTTTGATCTTCTGCAGCTCCCTCAAGGTATGTGTATCTCGTGTTGTTATCTTGGTATTGTTATTGTTCAATGTAAGTTTGGTTTTTGTTTTGCTGTGAGATTGTTTGAGATTGAGTCATAGAGATTTTATGATTATTGATATTAAAGAAGTGGGTTTGAAACTTGATATTGAAGAGGTGAT